ACTGATAACATAATGAGACATCATCTGAAGAGACAAGGTGATGATTTACATCCCATTTGGGAACCCCATGTGAATAATCTCCGGGTGGTGATAAGGGGGAAGGATCAAGTAGAGGACAGATAAGGGGGCTAAATAGTAGCTAATTCACAGCATATTTATGAAACAGTTTTGCATAAATAGGAATATTTTCCCTCTACGAGCACATTAATCAGCATAAAGACTTATTTTTGTTGCCCCTTGAGCAACTAGAGTTTAAGCTGCTAAAAAAGCCAGTGTCTGCTCTTTAAGAGATCACATTTTATCAGTAGAAACACCCTCCATATCATCTAAATCATCCCCCAACAAGGTCACCTCATTTACTCTGAAACAGCCAATATTCATATATCACAAGTCAGACTGTTATCCAGTACCATCCAGAGCATTTAATCACGTATTTTATTACTTAGTGACAGCAGCGTGCTGACAGATATTAAAGGATCAATACACAAACCGGGAACACTGCAATTACACGGTCAGGATTGAAAACACAGAGACCACCAGTACACCTGCAATCAGCATTATTTTAAGTAGAAATAGAAATCAAGATATTTGTGCAAAATCTGCTTCACTATAGGTCACATTTTTAAAAAACAAACAAACAAACAAACAAAAAGGTGAGTAAACAATAAGTGGACACTGGAATTCTTCAAATATGCAGTTATATCTTTCCGAAATAGTAATAAAGGAAAAGATTATTGTACAAATATAATGTAAAAAACACATACTGGGTTTCTACATGACTATTATAATCTGTCATTACTTCACAGGTTAAATTCCTTTAGAGGGATGGAAAAAACACTCCTTTTAGCATTATCGCTCCATAACATGTCAGTGCACAATAGTCACACTTCACTTATCAAACATGAAGGAGCTCTTTCATCCACAATCAACACTAAGCGTCCTCAAACGTCTCTTCTTATCCAAGATTGAACTCTGACCATGAAGGTTATAAGCACAGTTTCATTGTTACTCCTATTAAAACCAAACATGTTGTCACAATGAAGTAAACAGCTAAGATATGGGTACATAGTGAGCTAAGGAGTACTGTGTGTATAGACTTGTGTAGGAATATTAGACTCCAACTCAATACTCAAATGAAACAGATCATTGCAGGTAACTGGAATCAAGGATTAAAAATAGTTGCCCATTTTAGATTAAAGCTGCTGATTAATTTAAATAGAGAGAGAGAGACTTTATCACACGCACCTGTTTATGATCCGTCTGGCTCTTCCTGCACTCGGAGCAGAGATTGCGCCCAGAGTTGTGAATTAAAACCTCACTCCTGCAGTTTGCCCGCTGAAGGTCTGACTTACGGAGGAAGATCGGCGTTGCTCCGTCGAGTCGGTCACGAATTCGTTCGGAAAACTGTGTAATCTTTGGGTAGAGAGATAACGCATTGCAGACACAGTCCGTGAGATAAACTGAGACGGACCGCTGGTCCCGCTCTCTGCTGCGTGCTTTCAGAGAGAGAGAGAGAGAGAGAGAGTTGCATTGTTGATGTTGTGGAGAGAGAGACCTGCTATCAAAGCGAGTCCACTCCACTGCTAGTGAGCCAACTGGTCAAAGCTTTGATTAACTCTCTGCGATGAATCAGTGAATTTAAGTCAGTGTGATGTCCTTTACATAAACTCACTCTGTTTCTATCAGGACCAAGGACAGCTCCAATCAGAAAAGGATACAGTAGTTTATGTTCTGTAATGAAATTCTTTACAGATCCATGTTGTATATTATAAACTAGCATTTTATCCATTTATGGTCACGTCTTAAAGAAAACGCACCTCCAATCAGGGATGGAAAAACTACCCTGATTATATTCTCACATTATTCGAATAACTAGTCGTTTGTTGTGCTGTAAAATGGTCTCTGTGATTCATATACACTCTCTGGCCACTTCGATAGCTACACGGAGGATGTGTACACTGTGGTCATAAACGGACGCATCTGTACTCAGGTAGGCTGCGGTGTTTAAAGTTTAAAGTACTCAGTTGGTGCCAAAAATTTGCTGCTAAAAAGTATCCGCCACATTATTTCACAAGCAGGCTGAACTATAGATACATGACATGTAATACATTTCATGTTGTTTACTCTAAATTCTGACCCTATAGCTTCGGACTTTGACAAGCAGAAATCCAGACTCATCAAACCAGGCACCATTTTTCCAGTCTTCTATTGTTCAGTTCTGATGAGGCCATGTGAATTATACACCCCGTTTCCTGTTCTTTGCTGACAGGAGTGGCACTTGTTGCCATCTTCAGCTGCTGTACTCCCTCCGCTTCAAGTTTCGACGCGTTGTGCGTTCAGAGATGCTCTCCTGCATACCTTGGTTCTAACAACTGGTTATCTGAGTTACTGTTAGCTTCTTGTCAGCTCAAATCAGACTGTCAGTTCTCCTCTGACCTCTGGCATCAACAGGGATTTTTTTTCAGAGCACTGCAACGTCTATAAGTCTAAACGTGCTGTCCTGTGATGGGCTGATTAGATATTTACAGTGTCCAGATGAACCCAATAAAAGCGCCAGTGGCACTAGTTGGTTCAGTTTTTTGTTCTGCCTCTTTGTTAGCAGTTTAGTGACCACAGATTTTATGATATCGTTTTTTATGGATCATCTTCAAACTTCACAACAGTATTCGAGGCCTTGAGGAACATGAGTACCTTGGTTGGCTAAGCATTTGACCCTCGATCATGTTGCAATAAAAACATAAAAAGGTTTAGTACAGCACTTGCCCTTTGGGGGGAGTTGCGCTCTCTGAGTCTTTCTTGTATACTGTGATAGTGGAACAAAATAAACATACAGTACATCATGCATAATTCAATCACTGGTAATTTAATCTCCTTTTCCTCAAGCCAAATAAGGGTGGCGGTGACATGATTAAATTGGTAGGAAATAAATAAAAAAACAAAAAGCTGTCTTTTCTTTTATGCATTATTTATTGTGAAATAAAGTCAAATGGGGATTGGTGGAACAAAAAGGTTAAAGGTAAAGAAAAAGCATAAAGTAACACAAGTAACAGTGTTGAAGTTGTACTTAACTGACCTCTGTAAAGTGTAAAGTGCAAAACTGTAAAGTTTTGCTTGTAAAAGCTTTTACACCACACGCCCGTGCCATCTAGCTTCTGTCAGGTGCAGTGTGTACAAAACACACAGCGATGTGAAAACAATGCGGCATAATGTCATTCATGCGCTTGCTACTTTAGGCATTTCAGCGTGAGACAAAAATACTATGAGGCAAAAGTGAGAACCAGGAAATTTACTGCAATAACTTGAGCTGTGAGTCCCACTGCCCGAGTGTAGGCCTGTGGTATGCCACTGCTATTAACTCTGGCAAAGGAGAACTTAAACCATAAAATCTAAACCTAAGGTAAGAAAACAAATGAATGATATCCAGTAGGTCAGATTACCCTCCTTCAAAGCAAGAGAAAGCCTGCGTGTGCCGTTGACATGTGACATGATGTAAACGCAAATTAACACGTGACCACTAAGAGCTACGATACAGAGTTAGAAGAAAAAGTCCACAATGAAAAAGAGCGAAGGAATATTTTCATTTTCATACTTTATTTATGCACAGTATCCGTCATACCACAAATAACAGAGGAACGAGAAGAATCAGGTTAACAAAAAGCAAGGGCAGTGAAAGGAAACATACAAACATCCCTGTGGCTCTAACTGTAGCCTGTAGTGGTTCTGTACCCTGACTAGCCCAACTTATGATGATCTCTGTTAAGGGGTTGTTTTTGTTTTTTAATCCCTCTTTCAGTTCAGATTCTCAATGTGAGACATGTAAACACGCAGATTAAACGTAGAGATCTCATTTTGGTCCTGATATATGTGACAGCTGCAGGGCTTAAAAGCTGTGGTAAAAAGTCTTCCTTAATTTGGCAGTTCATTTTGAAGATTCACTGTTTTAATTTGTACATATTGGTAATTAAAACACACACAAAAAAAAAACCCCCAAAGAAATACAGAAATAAACAAACTGCTTGACGCACCTGACTGAAATCAAAAAAAGACTGTTTGGCACCGGTAAACAAAAAGCCATTAGAAGCAATTTACACACATTTGTCTGCTTATATTTCAGCATTTTAGCCAAACAGGTCCGGCTACATGACAGCGAAACTGGGAAGAGACATGAAAGCGCACGATGCTGCTTGGACTGGGATGGTGGGGCTTTGTCTAATTCTGCGCGGTAAGGTGGGAAACTTCATGCTCCACACCAGGCATCTCTGTATTTCATGCAAGGGGTCGTTCTCATGCTTAGATCAGGCCTCGCCTCACGCATGCACACACGATATATATAAAGAATGGACGTATTTCGGCCCCGCAGGAAGGGCTCTGAAATCCTCATTAGCATTAACGTGGTTTAGTTACATAAGGAGTCAGCCCTGAGACGACCAAGGCAAG